GTATAAACGGGGAGGCTGTGGGGCTCCCCAGGTTTTTTTTTGGCAGGAAGCAGATGGATAAACTGCTAAGCTGCAAAGAAGGATGACTCAGGAGAACCAAGAATCCAGAGAGGAAACCAAGAGACACACTTCAAGGTGACCCCTGGGTAATCTCCTGCCTTGAAAGTTAACAGGAAATGTGACTTGCTTCCAACCAGTAATATGGTGAAGGTGACAGGTTGTCCTTGATGAGGTTTTGTTATGTAGAAAATGTGATAGGATAACATCCCAAGTAGAGGAACACGTTAAGTTGTGAATGGATTCTGGCTCACAGAAACTGTGGGAAAATAAATGTGCGTTACTTTACTTGTGGTTTGTGGTAATGTTATACATCAGAGGAAATCCAGTACAATCACTGTTACCTGTTAACCTATTTTATCTTGTCGTCAATCTCTGGACTCTTTTTTATGCCATTTTGCAATGTCCCTTGTTTCGTTTTAGTTTGGATATGTTATCAATTTGTAATTTGGTCCTCACTTTTAGTATGATCTTGTCTTTTTTAAATCTTTGCTATTGAAAGTATTACAGATGTCCCCTCATTTCCTCCCACTCCCCGCCTCTACCTGGTTCCCACCCTGCCCCAGACCTTCACCACCCTACTGTCTGTGTCGGTGGGCAATGCATATATACATATACATTATTTGGTTAATCTCTTCTTTCCTCCCCTCCCCCGTTCCCTCTGAGATTCGTCAGTCTGTTTCTTGTTTCCATGCCTCAGACTCTATGTTATTTATCAGTTTATTTGAATAGATACATGCACCTCTCTGTTCTTGCAGCATTATTTACAACAGCCAAGACATGGAAACAACCTTAAATGTCTATTGATAGATCAATGGATAAATAAAATGTAGTAAATACTTTACAATGAAATGCTATTCAGTCTTTTAAAAGGAGGAAAACTGCCCTTACCAGTGGTTAGAACATTGGCCTGGGCACCAATGGGTCATGGGTTTTATTCCTGATCAAGGGCATGTACCTGGGTTGCAGGTTCAATCCTCCGGGCACATGCAGGAAGCAACCACACCAAACAATGTCTCCCTCACATCTATGTTTCTTTCTTTCTCCTCCCCCCCACCCTTCTCTCATGTGCATGTATCCTCCCGCCCCCCTTCCACTCTCTCTCTAAAAATCAATAGAAAAAAATTCTTAGGTAAGGATTAACAAAAAAAACAAAACACATAATACTTTTTTTTAAAAAGACAAGGAAAACCTGCATTTGTTACAACATGGATGAACCTGGAGGATACTATGCTGAGTGAAACAAACCAGATACAGAAAGACAAACACTGCATAACACCACTTGTATTAGAAATCTAAAGTAGTCAAATTCATAAAAACAGAGAACAGAGTGGTAGTTTTCAGAGGCTATAGAGAGGAGGAAATATAGAGATACTAGAGGCCCAGTGCATGAATTCGTGCATGGGTGGTTGGCCGGCCTCGCCCCTGATGGGGGGGGTGGGTGCACGACCAGGGAGAAGGCCAAGTGGGGCGGTGCCATTCCGGTTGCTTGGCTTTTATATAGGGTGTCCCAAAATTCACACAAGATTTGCAATTCAATTGCAAATTTTGTGTGAATTTTGGGATACCCTATATATATAGATCATTAAGTCATAGATGCCACATTTCACTGGACTAAATTAAGGTGTGTTTCTCCCTTTCCTGGTGTGCACCTGCTGTAGTAATCACGAGGCCAGATTTTGCAGTATAAATTCCACGAGGTACACTTTGCTGGCAACAATATTTGGCATTTTCAGGAAAGGACTGCCATGTTTAAGATCCATGTTTCACCTTTGGTTTGCCTTCAGCGGCAGCCACCAAGGCACAGTCATCACTCAGGCCCCTCCCTAAGATGCTGGTGGCACAGGCCATGGCAACCGACCCAGTCCCTATAATGGAGATCTTACTGTGACCAATGGCCTCCTCTGAAGTTAAATTCTTCGTAAGCTCACACTTGGACACAGGGGTAACGAGCCAAGGGCCCCTGAGTGGGATACAGGCAGGCTGGCGGGACACATGTCATCCCCAGACACAGGAAATTTACTCCGTGGCACCCACTCTCTGCTGGCCCACAGGAGCGCTAATCAAGGAAAGAAGAGAAACAAAAATTAGCAATAAGAGAATGAAAGAGGGACCATTATAGATCCTACAGACATTAAAAGGATAAACAGAGGATCTTTTTTAATTTCTTTATTGATTAAGTTATTACATATGTGTCCTTATCCCCACATTACCCCCATCCCCCTCCCACAAATGCCCTCACCCCCCTGTTGTCTACCATTTGCAACAGCATGGATGGAAAAGAGGATCTTTTAACTAACCTATGCCTACTAATTCAATAACTATACTTACATATGTAGTTTAGTTTTAAAATATTAACAAATTACTGGGTGAGACGTACCATTTTCATTTTACAGTTAAGAATGCTGGGTTAAAATAATGTCCATAAATTGTCTGAAGTTATGCAATTGCTTACAATAAGAGCGAGTATTTTAAAGGTTTTGTTTTGTTCTTTTAAACTTTATTGATTTTAGAGAGAAGAAGGGAGAGGGAGAGAGAGATAGAAACATCAATGATGACAGAATCATCCTTTGGCTGCCTCCTGCATGCCCCCTACTGGGGATCGAGCCTGAAACCCCGGGCATGTGCCCTAACCGGGAATCGAACCTAAATCTCCTGCTTTATGGGTCGACGCTCAACCACTGAGCAACACTGGCTGGGCAAGATAGAGTATTTTAATCTCAGTCTTTTTTATTACAGAGTCTGTGTATTTATCGGTAGTTCCCTCCAGCCTCTGCTGTTAGGATAACATTTCAACAGTGGTCAATTTGTGACTATAAAGAGGTCCTGGAACTAATAATAAAACTAATGATAAACTTAAATTTTAAAGCACATTAAAAAATACAGACTATTACTGTATCAACATAGTAACTTGAGTGCTGTTACAGGAGATCCCAGAAAATCCTCACTGTGGAAACAGCGATAATTAACATAACATGCAATTGAATTACAACATTCTACATTAAATCACATTTTCTAAAATACGCTTCAGAATACTAGCAAATTGTTGGAAAATTTCACATTATTTAACAGAGCATCTTCTTCCACTAAATTACCGAGAGAAGCATGTTTTGCCTTATCAGACAAAAGGAGATTCTGTTGGTCAATGTCATACTCATTCTTTATTAGTCAGCTTACTGATAAGTTTGTATTGCTAAGTGTAAAGCTGCTATTCCAGCCTCAAAAGCAACTAAGAAGTAACTAAATGTGTAACAGATCGATGAAACAGAGGGGCAGGCAGAAAGTCAGAGTAACAAACCTTCCCAACCTCCCCGGACATGTGCACATGCGCGCGCGCGCGCTCGCGCGTGCACACACACACACACATCTGTCCATTGCCAGGTGGCAGGACTTGGCCTGGACTTCCCTTTATCCCACGCGACCTCTGAAACCGGGCTCTTACTGTTTGATGGTGCTCTGATCCTGTGCCTTTAAAACTCCAGCCCACTAAATGGATTAAAATGAATAAGAAGATCATTATAGGTGAAATCTAATGTCTGCAAACAAAGTGTTCGGTCTGCTGCCAGCATCTCAGGACACTTCTCCAGGATGCAGTGTTCTGTGCCTCTGATCCTGTGCCTTTAAAACTCCAGCCCACTAAATGGATTAAAATGAATAAGAAGATCATTATAGGTGAAATCTAATGTCTGCAAACAAAGTGTTCGGTCTGCTGCCAGCATCTCAGGACACTTCTCCAGGATGCAGTGTTCTGTGCAGAGTTGGAGGCTTCGTGGTAAACGGAGTAGATTCTAATAGAACCAGAAAACACCTCCAGGTTCACGGACACATGTCAGTGGGAACATGAGACATGAGACCACCAGCAGCTCCCAGTATCTCTGCCAAAATTCCAGGGCCAACCCTGCACAGGTGGAGCCACGCTCAGGACCCACATAACCCAGGCGGTTCTCCTGGGTGCGCGTCATGGCCGCAGCTTCGGCTCTGACAGGCAGCCATCGCAGGACACAGTGCAGAGCAGAAGGTGCCCGGAGGGGAGCAGGGCAGGCTGTTAGTGCGCAATTCACGTGACCTTACAGCTCTACAGGTGTCACCAATGTTTGAAAATACAGGTGTTTAAAATTACTCAGGACCCACAGTCTAGATAACCCAGGCAGTTCTCCTGGGTGTGCATCATGGCCGCAGCTTTGGCTCAGATAGGCAGCAATCACAGGCCACAAGCGCAGAGAGCAGAAGGTGCCGGGAGGGGAGCAGGGAACGCTGTTAGTGCGCACTTCACGTGACCTTACAGTGTTACAGGGTGTCACCAATGTTTGAAAATACAGGTGTTTAAAATTAGGGTATTTTTGAGAAAGTGAGAGAAGAGAGTACAAGGGGGGGGTGGGAGGGATGTTAACTGGCTGCCACTAGTGGAGGTCTTTTTGAGAACAGAGCTGATCCAAAATACAGAAAGAAAGTTTCCTAAATGCAGAACTTTTGCCTCTTGTGTTCCTCCTGGATCCCAATCACCTAAAACACAGTGGGTGTGTGGGTGAGGAGTGGGGCACAGCAGGCAAGGGCAGACATCCCAGAGGCAGTAACAACATAACGCAAAGGACCCTGCCCAGGGACCACCCCTGAGGTGACCCAGCAGCCCTCCTCCCCCTGCACACCCGCCCCACACATTCTGTCAGGGTGCAGAGGCTTCTATTTCTCCCCTCTCCCTCCATCTATAGAGAAAGGCTCCCTCTGCTCCCCGGGGAGCCTGTGCCCCTAGGGAACTTCCCAGAGTCCTTCCAGATCTCTTCTAAAAGCGCTTCAGCTGGGGTGTCAGCTCGGGGAATTCCTGACAGGCTGCGGTGACCTGCGGGCGAGGTCTGGCTCCTCCTGGTGCTTCCTTCCTCTGGTTCTCCTGTCTAGATCATTTCTTTGCACAGTCTCCTTCCTGCTCCACTCAGAGCAGCCACTTCTGAGAAGACCTGGGAGGAGGATGGCTCCCTCGGAAGCTCTGATTCTAGGGGCCCTGGCTCTGGCCTCCACGCTGAGCCCCTGTGGAGGTGGAGACATCAGGGGTGAGTGCTCGGTGAGGGTGTGGATTTAGGAAGAATTGTAAGAACCGGGAATGCCTTTGTTTAGACTTAGTGGTCCTGAAACCCAGTTCCCTCCCATCGGAATTCTTATGCTTATTTTCTCTCTCAGAAACCAAACCCCAGCCCAAACCTATGCTCAGCTTGTAGACTGAGCTAGATGTGCTGTCCCGGTGACTGCAGTGGTCACCAGGGCCTGTTCTCTTTCCAATGTCACAACCAACCAACACCGCCTGGACGTTGTTGTGGCCTTAACTCTGGTAGCTCCTCGCAGTAGGTATATTTCTCCAACATACTGCTTTTCTTTAACAGCAGTTTGTGAGCCTGCTACTTCCAACCCACTCAAAACTCTCTCAAAGTTATTAGTTATTGCATTTTAGCTGTCCAGTTCCTTACAATGACCATCCCCATAAATGTTTTGTGCCACATGTAAAGTAGCAAGTCATTCATTTTTTGTTTTCAACATAATTTATACTCTGGGTTTGGGCTCAGAAAATGAGGAGGATAAACTTTATTGAAGATAATTGCAATTGGAAAAATAAAACCAATTAATTGGATGACATTAAGCAAGTCAATTCATTACGTTGATCTCCAGATTCCTCATATGTAAAATTAATTGATTGACTCATTGTTCTAAAGAACATGTGATCAAATAAAATAAGTACACAGATGTGTATTTTAAAAACAAAGACCTATGCCCTGACTGGTTTGGCTCAGTGGATAGAGCGTTGGCCTGTGGACCAAAGGGTCCCAGGTTCGATTCCAGTCAAGGGCATGTACCTTGGTTGCAGGCACATCCCCAGTAGGGGGCGTGCAGGAAGCAGCTGATCGATGTTTCTAACTCTCTATCCTTCTCCCTTCCTCTCTGTAAAAAACCAATAAAATATATTTTAAAAAAAACAAAACAGAGACCTATATAAGTGCCGGGATACAGCATGATTATTCTGAGTGTCACTTCCCGTATGTGTTCCACAAAGTTGGGATGATGCATGATGGAAAACCCAGGGACTTCAAGTAGGTTAGTCTCAGCGTATCAGCCCAAACCAGCAGCCCTGTCACCTCTAGCCAGTAAAGCTCTAAAAAGAGGTAAAAACAGATCCATTACCTGGCTCGTTCGCCCCCCTGCTCTCCATCTCCTTTCCACACACCTTCCTGGTCTAGGGCTCGTTTCTCTACCTTTCAGTCTCCGAGCCAGAACTTTGCCTGCTTTGTCATGGCAATGACAACAGTTACTGAGACCTACAGCAAAACAGAGGGAAATGAAGAGAGATAGAATACAGTGGAATCTCCAAAACATTTTCCAAATGAGATTCATTAGTTCAACAGACACTGAGTGTGTCTGAAGCACTCCTCTGGTGCTTAGCATAAACCAAGGTTCTTACCCATGAAGAACTCAGATGATTTAAAAATATATTCAATCAGTAAATAAACTCCATGGTGTGTTAGAATAAGATGAATGCTTTGAAAGGGTAAGACAGTATGGGGATTAAGTGATTAGAGATACGCTTAAGAATTAAATGCACTTATTTGTTTTTATTTAGCAAATATGACTGAATTCTTACTATGTACCATGACTCTACCAGGAACAAGTCATAGCATCCCAATGCCTCCTGGAGTACACATTATCATGGGAAGACAATATATGTGCCTGAAAGTTGTTAGGAGGTCATGTTAAGAGCTTACATCTCGATACCCTAAGCTACATAACACAGAAACAGGGACTGATAGCAGACCATGCCAATGTAACCTACACTATGGAACAGAGTTTCTTGTGCTTTTGTATAATAAAGCTTTTCCCCTCCCTCCATATTCCACCTTCCCATTCATATCTCCTTGCTCCTGAATGGCCACTCACCAGCCGACCACGTGGGCACTTATGGCACAAATGTTTACCAGACGTATGGCGCCTCTGGCCAGTTCACATATGAATTTGACGGAGATGAGCTGTTCTACGTGGACCTGAAAACGAGGGAAACTGTGTGGCGGCTGCCTGAGTTTAGCAATTTCACCAAGTTTGAAACTCAGAACGCCCTGCAAAACATTGTTGTGGCAAAAAGAAATTTGGACACCTTGATAAAAGATTCCAACTTCACACCTGCCACCAATGGTGAGTGTGCCCAGTTCTGTCTCTCTTCTCACATCCCAGGTCTCACCTCCCTTTTCCCTGGAAGAGCTACTCTTCCCAGCATGCTATAAATTCTTCCCCTTTCTATTTCATTTCCTACCAGATACCCTGTCCCCATCATATCCATTTACTCTTTAAGCATCCCTCCTCCTGGTTCCATAAAGTACTCCTTATAATCCAATAAGAGGACGTTCCCAACTTCTTAGCCTAAGAAGTGTGCACACACACACACACACACACACACAGTGTCCTGTGCGTTCCCAAAGAGAGGAAAGTGTTCTGAGCTTCATAGTGATTCAAAGGAAGAGGACGGTTCAGAATGTGAGGTGAAGATGATGGCACCCCTCTGAAGTCACACAGATCACATTAGCCTTCCTCATTCAGAAGATGGAAAAGGCAAGGTAGAAGTTTTGGACAGTCCTGCCCATAAAAAAAGAAACAGTGAACGAAATGACCTAATAAACAGGTGGGAAAAGGGGAAGCTGTTGCTTACTGTAAAATGAGTCTGAAAAGACACAGGAAAAATCCACTAACAGCTGGGGAGCTGGGACCGGGAGGGCCACCCAAACTAATTAAGAAACTCAGGACACGGGTGTCCCAAATTCAAACCAGTGTTTTGTCTTCGTTGTAGAAATTCCTGAAGTGGCTGTGTTTCCCAAATCTCCCGTGACCTTGGGTATTCCCAACACCCTCATCTGTCTGGTGGACAACATCTTCCCTCCTGTGATCAACATCACTTGGTTATACAATGGACACCCCGTTGCCGAAGGTGTTGCTGAGACAACCTTCTACCCCAAGAGTGACCACTCTTTCCTCAGGCTCAGTTACCTCACTTTTCTTCCCTCCACTGAGGATTTCTACGACTGCAGGGTGGCGCACTGGGGCCTGGAAGAGCCGCTCCTCAAGCACTGGGGTACGCCGCATCCCTTCATTGTCCGTACACCCTCAGTTCTGTCCCACGTCACATGGTCTTGCCTTAGAGCCCTAAGCCCTCAGGGTCACAGGTTTATTTCCCACAATTCCAAGTTTTCTAATAATTGACTATACTCTTCTCCCAAAGTCCAGATGTCTTGTGCATTTCCAAACACACACATTGGTCCCCTTATACAACACATATAGTGCCCTTTGACCCTGTGAGCTTCTTTTTTCTCAGAGCCTGAGATTCCAGCCCCCATGTCAGAGCTGACAGAGACTGTTGTCTGTGCCCTGGGGCTGGCCGTGGGCCTCGTGGGCATCGTGGCAGGCTCCGTGCTAACCATCCGCCGGCTGCACGCAGGGGCTGCCTCCAGGAGCTGGAGGACCACATGAGTCTCAGCCTGGGAAATGGGAAGGTAGGAATCAGGTGTAGAGATCCGGGGTGATGTTTCTGCAGGTAGTGAAGCCGGCGGGGGAGGATTGGCACCCAGGATACATAAATGTGTTCGAAAATTTGTGGGAAAATTGAAGAATGGGTTGACCTTGGGACAGGAACGGAAGACCCACCAATCTCGTGCTGTTTCCTGTTTCAGGTCATCGGTCTTCATAAGAAAGAAGAGGAATGGTTCAGACTCAGTTCCCTGTCTTGGCCTTGATGTATGACCTAGACCTGCTCCTTGATCCTTCCTCAGCCTCTTTATCTCCCCGTTTGAGTGGAACTTATGGCCAATTTTTCCTTCAGAGACTACTGACCTTTATGAATTCTTCCTACTCAGTCTTTTATTCATCACCTACCTTTCACAGAAAAACCTGGACCATTCTGCCCAGCCACCTGGTTCTTAGTCACTGTAATTCAATATCTGTACTGAAAAAAATTATATCTCTTTCCTGGGTATCTTTGTTTAGAGTATAATTTTCTCTAAATGGATAAGTATGGGAGACCTCATGCTGGAATGTTAGCAGACGTCTCAGCTCATTTAACCTCTTTCTCGGGTCATGTTAATAACACACAGTCAACGTGTCCAAATGATATTGTAACATAATAAACATGTGTTCTTCCATTTTGTTCTCCCTCTCCTTACCCATTTAGGTATCAGTGAGGATAGTGCAAACTTTCTCCCCTCAGTGTAATGTTTTTTATATCCAAAAAATACCAAAAAATGAGAAAGGGACAATATTTAGGTTTTTTATTTTAAAATAGAATTCAAAAATCTGTGGAAGAGACAAAAAAATTGAAATAAAGTATTTTAAATACAAAGTTGGATTTTGAGAATAAAAGTGAAATTGTTATCATAAGTATTAGGTTTGTGACAAATGCAGAATGATCTGAGAGGTTTCCTCCCCACTTTCTTCCCTAGATTAGACAGAAACTGTAGGTTGAGGAGAGACAGAAGTCAGAAGTGAGAGCAGCAACAGGAGACCGCAGTGTGTGCCCTGGGAAGTCCCCACACTCTGCTCTTATTTGGGCGAATATCATTGAGAAAGGAGAGATGGAGGCAGTGGCTGGCTAACGGGCCTCACTTCCCTGTAGGCACCTCCCTTTGGCAAGAGCATAAATACAATTTAAACTCACTTCATGCTCAAGCTCGTGGATTATGTTTATTGATAACATTTTAATTTGGGTTGTTGTTATTATAGGAGACTTTGTAGGTTAACTAAGATTTTAGTAATATATTAATGCCACAATATTTCCCATTTACATACTAGTAGAATGTAATCCTTTAGTAACCACAAAATAGGCTGTTGAGAGGACCTACGAGTTAATGCATGTAAAACACTTAGGCTAATATGTGCCACACAGTAAGCCCCAAATACATTTGAACTAGGAGTATGATTTATATGATCTGGTCTTGAAACTCTCATCTCCATGCCCAAACTTTGGGAACCGAGTTTAGTCCAGGTTGAGCATTCTTTTTGCTTAAATTATTAGTTTTCTACATCTTACACAGTTCCAGATATTAGGCATTCTTATCTTTCTTGCTTTCTTACTTATTTTATTATGGTAAACTAGAGGCCTAGTGCACAAAATTTGTGCACAGGTAGGGTTCCTAGGCCTGGCCGGGGCCTTCACTGCCAGCTGGGGCCTCCTTTCCCCAGCCGCCAGCTGCAGATCAGGGCTTCCCTTCCCCAGCTGCCAGCTGCCGGCTGCTGGCCAGGGCCCTTCACTGCCGGCTGGGGCCTCCTTTCCTCAGCTGCCGGCTGCCAGCCCTTTCTTCATTCCGTGCCCCCAACTGGTGGTTAGTGCATGTCATAGCAAGCAGTTGAACTCCTAGTTGAACAACTGCCCAAGGGGACAATTTGCATATTAGCCTTTTATATATATATAGATATATGTAGAGAGATATGGATAACATGACATTTACCATGTTAGCCATTTTTAAGTCTATGTCTCAGTGACATTAAGCACAGTCACATTGTTGTGCAACCATCACCACCATCCATTTCCAAAATGTTTTCCATCCCAAACTGAAACTCTGTACCCATTAAACAATAGCTCCATCCCAATCCTCCCTCCAGCCCCTGACAAACACCATTCTACTTTTTCTCTAAATAAAGTTAACCATTTTATCATGTTGTAGTATGTATCAGAATTTCCTTTCTTTATGAGGTTGAATATATTTCAATGTATGTGTATACCACATTTTGTTTATCCAGTCATCCATTAATATACATTTGAATTGTTTCCACCTTTGGTTATTGTGAAAAATACTGCTATGAATATTGGTGTACAAATATATGTTCCAATTCCTGTTTTCTATTCCTTTGAATATATATATATCCCCAATTTCTGGATCACATGGTAATTCTAATTGTTTTAAGAACCACCATACTGTTTTTTACAGTGGTTGCAATATTCTACATTTCCAACAGCAATGCACAAGGGTTCCAATTTTCCTACATCCACACCAACACTTGATATTTTCTAAATTTTTTATCATAACCCTCTTAATGGGTCTGTATAATTACACACAAAAAAGGATATATTTAATTCTTTTAACAATATTTAATTTTTAAAATTTTTTAAAAGAAAATGGTGAATCATATGAAATATTTATCAAAAGAAATAAAACCAATAAATAAAATTTTATTTTTCTAAAATTCAAAATGATGAGTACATAAGGAAATAATTTTCACAATTTCAGAGGAATATTTTCCTCTTAAGGAAAAGGTTGGTAATTAGAAGGTGCACACAGGCTGCTTCTGGGAGGCCAGCTGTGTTCAGTCTTTAATCTGTGTGTTACCATTCCTTTCTCTCTCTCTCTCTCTCTCTCTCTCATAGGTAGGTAGATGATAGATAGATAGATAGATAGATAGATAGATAGATAGATAGATAGATAGATGATAGATGATAGATAGATAGATAGATAGATAGATAGATAGATAGATAGATATAATATGTAATTCCAAAAGAAATGCTACTATTAAATCCCCCATTATGAAAGCCTTATTCTCAAGTCATGAACTAGAGAAAGGTATATATCCAGGTCAGGAAATATAAATCCAATTTATTTTGAGAACTTATACTTTAAGGTAAGTGATGTGTTTAAGTTAAAAGAAGGGAAGAACTTTTAAACTATTATAAATTTAAGATCCTATGCTCTCCAAGAATGTGAATCTATGAGGAAAGCATTGTTGCTGAAAATTATGGTGATCCTCACCATACCATCCTCATTAAAGGACCCCAATCTAAGTTCAAGTATACGGAGCATGTATTGTAAGGGCAGTATATAGAAAATAGTAAATATCTTCTGTTGAATGATGGGACTCTCTCTTTTAAAATGTCTTACGTTAAAAATTAATTAATTAATTTAATTTAATATTTTATGGTGGCGAAGCCTCAAAAAGAACATCACCAGTGATGTTTTAGTGCAAGTTACAAATGCCAACCTCAGTAGAGATCTGAAACTGGAAGTGGTAGACCTCATGTATGCGACCCAAAGCAAGACAAAAGGGAAGAGGTAAAACTTCATGGAAAAGTAAAGACCTTAAAAATAAAAAGAGAGGGGAAGTGAATCATTGGTATAGCAAGTTCCTGAAAGTAACTTAGAAGTAACAGAGAATTAGAAATATTGAATGAGGCTTTTGTACTCTGCAGAAAACCTAATGTTTGGTTCAGATTTCACTCATGCATTGAAAAAGAGTGAATGTTAAAGTATAGTTTTAGGTAGCTTAATCAGAATCATATTCTCCTGAATTTCACATTCCAAAAAACAAAGTAAAAGAATTATCTAGACCTAAACAAATTGCTTTTTTATGTTATAAAATTGTGAAAAAAATTATTTTCATGTGGTGATAGAAGAATATAGAAAGAGTTGGGTAGTTACTACTTTCAGACTTGGTTCAGGGTTCCGTTAACAGTACAAGGGGGGTTAATGAATGTTGGATAAGCAATGTGGAGCAATGATTTTAAGAATCCCATAAAATTCAAAAAATACTAAGTTAATTTCTTGTCTCTCTAAATTTACAGGGAAATAAATCTTACTGAAAATATGTTATAGTTTTTTAATATAAGTACTTTATTGTTTTATAAGTAAACTTATTGCAATTATTTCTCATACACATGCTACTTTATTTATTGAATTTCAGTCCTCTGAAATAACTTTATTTCTTTTATTTAAGTTTTTTACCTTTTTCTATTACAGTTTACATTCAATATTATTTTGTATTAGTTTCAGGTGTACAGCACAGTGGTTAGACATTCATATAATTTACGAAGTGATCCCCCTGATAAGTCTAGTACCCACCTGGCACCATACACAGTTATTACAATACTATTGACTATACTCCCTATGCTGCACTTTACAATCTGTGACTATTTTGTAACTGGCAGTGTGTACTTCTCAGTCCCTTCACCTGTTTCACCCAGTCCCCCAACGCCTCTCCCCTCTGGCAGCCATCAGTCTGCCCTCTGTATCTGTAAGTCTGTTTCTGTTTTGTTAGTTTATATTGTTCTTTAGATTCTACATATAAGTGAAATCAGATGGTATTTGTCTTTCTCTGCCTGAGTTATTTCCCTAAGCCTAATATTCACTAGATCCAACCATGCTGTCACAAATGTAAGATTTCTTTCTCTTTTATGGCAGAGTAATATTCCATTGTTTATATGGACCATTCCTATTTTATCCACTCTTGGCTATTTTAAATAGCACTGCAGAAAACATGGAGGTGCATTTATCCTTTCAAATGAGTGCTTTGGGTTTCTTCTATACATACCCAGAAATAGAATCACAGGTCATAAAAAAGTTCCATTTTGAATTTTTTTAGGAACTTGCATATTGTTTTCCATAATGGCTGCACCAATCTGCAATGCACAAGGGTCCCCTTTTCTCCACATCCTCAACAACACTTTTTTATTGATTTATTGATGATAGTCCTTCTGACAGGTGATATCT